GATTTGGACTATCAAAGAAATTTTGAGTCCTTTAAATTAAATGAAAGAAAGTCTACTCAATGCATTTAATTTTTATTTTATGAAGRGTGCTGTGTCTTGTTCATCGAAAGAATAATGTGCCTTGTAAGAATGTAAGGTAGATTGGGGAGAATCAGGCATTTAAACTAGGATTGTACCGCTTGAGGCTTGTTGATCGGGCATCATCCCAATTTAAGGAAAGTATGGATGAGTTTCCTGACTCAGAGAATTTTTGTCATTCAAAATGAGGGAAATATCTTTCTTTAAAAGTGGAATAGTCCCAACATAGAGCCCAACAAACCCAGGACTTTTCATTTATGGCTTTTCTGCCATGATTTCCAGTGCCTTCTCCCTGGAACCTGAGACTGAATTGAACTGTAAACAATCCTTTAACAATGGGCATAGGGAGTGGAGAATTGGATACACAGGAAATTGAAATGCAAGAAAGTCTAATCTTGTTTTAAGAAAATATTGGAAGAGTAGAACTGTGTAGTTGTGTGTTGGGGACACCATGTTGATGTTTTCTTAGTGGCCAGCTTTTTTTTTTCTTTCTCTACAATGCAGATGATAGCAATTTACAAAATATTGTCCAGTTTGATTCTGTATTAGGGAGTATGTTTGTCTCATGGAGAAAGAAAATAACAATTTACTCTTACTCCGGAGGAAAGCTTACATTCAGAAGAGGTGTTATCCTCTGGGTGGTGGCCACCAACAACAGTTCTTTCTTGGGGCTCTTCATTTCCCTTTTAAGGCAATAAGTTTCAGAGTCTAGGAGAGAGTTTAACATGGAATGAAAAGAATATGCATTCTCTTTAGCATTTGCCTCTGAACACAAAAGCCCACTCAGGAACCACAAAAAAGGTTCAAATGAACCAGCAGCAAATGAATATATTAGATATATGAATATATTAAATACTAACGATAATGAATATATTAAATACTAACRATAATCTATCATTATTGCATAAATATATAATATATATTATATGTATAAATATAACACAAATATGTTATATATATAAATGTAACACAAATCCTAAAATAACAAAAATATCCAAGGTGACATCATATTTCGTAACTGCGATTGGCAGAGTAAAAGCCTTACTTTGAAATTAGGAGGCAGAACAACCATATCTTGGAAAATCTAAGAAATTTGAATGTGGATTCTATATTAGATCTACTACAGAATTACTAATTTTATTAAATTTAATAATATATAATAATATGGTTTTACAAGAAAACTCCACTTTTTAAACAGAGATGATTGCTGCCAGTTGCAAAAGGCTAAAAGATATGATGCTTGATATTTATTTTAAAGAAAATTTAAGGAAAAAAAGGTATTATGCAAGATTTTGATAAGTATTGAACCAGGGAAATGGGTGAATGGAGGCCCCTTATAATATTTTCTCAATTTTTGTGAAAGTTTGAAAAATTTTATAAGACATTCAGCTTTGCTACTTCCTGTCCAGTGACYTTGGGCAGAGCATTTAACCTCTCATGTTCCAGTTTTCTCAAGACAAAGAAGTAATTAGAGTGTTCCTCCCTCAGAGGTGTGTTGTATGGGTTGAAGGCATCCTGTGGACTGAGAGCTTAGAGTGGCATGAACATGCAATAATGATAGATTATCGTTAGTATTTAATAGATCCATGAGGTCAGGAAAGATTTTTCCTACCATTTGCTGCTGGTTCATTTGAGCCTTTTTTGTGGTTCCTGAGTTGGCCTTTGTGTAATGAAAAATGAAACGGTACACAGGCAAATGCTACCACAAATGCATAATTCTAATTGAATGCTACTGCAATGACACATGTGCTTTCAGATGATAGAAGTCACCAAGAACTAGTCATTAAATAATGGGAGTAGGGAGAAGAGAGATTCGGGAAGGAAAATATACCACAAACAATGTTCGCTGGTTAACACACTTTATATTTAACAAAATAATTTTTTAATAATATATTCTTTTACACATCAAATATTGTTGCTAGAATCCCCTTTTTACAGTTTAGTGTTTAGTTTGTTTTTTTTTTTCTCACTAGTTTTCAGGCACACCATTTTTCAAAGATTTTAGAAACTGAATCATTTTTAACAGGCATCGACCTACAAACAGGATGTTGCTCCCTCATTCAAACATAGCTGTAGTTAAAGCCGAGAACCCAGAGAACAAAAGGCAGAGGAGAAATGGTAATACAGAGGTGACAGTGTGGCTGCAAAGGAAGCCTTCAAAGGAAAAAAAAAAATCACAACAAAACAGACCAGAACTATGTTGTTCAGAGTTTGGAAAGAATTTCTCAATGACCTGGGTAGAAGGGAGTTGTAAAATGATGATCGGTTTAGGAGAAATTCTGTCACAGTATAGGTTCATCACTCTCCCTAAAGGGGAAAAAATTGTCAGTGCTACAAAGTCTTAAAGGAAGGAGCTTGCAGAGAAGCTGGAAAAGAAAAAAAAAAAAAAAAAAAGAAGCTAGAAACCCAACAAGAGCAATAAAACTCCCTCTCTTGGTAACAGAGGCCACTGAGTAGCTACCTCTTACAGACCCTCTGATGAGAGTACCTTGATGGATGTTATCCTCCATGCTAGTAAATTCTTGCTGTGACTGTCCCTGTACAAAAACTTTGATGCAAAATGTCTATACCTCAGCTTCCCAGTTGCATTCTCTTTCTGTTTTCTGAAAAGGACATAGTAACTCCTTAATAATAGATAAGGTACTATGCTACATGGCCCTACTAATGATATGTTCTGAGGTTTCAGACCTTTTTCCTGTCATTTATTATGATTATTATTTCTTTCCAAGAGTGTGGATTTTTGAAGCTGGCAACAGGCAACCTCAGGGCAGAGAAAGCTCTATAATACGTCTCTGTCTAGACACGAGCTGCAAGTGTGGAATGCCTTTTCTGTTGAGTGGAGGCATAAATCATGCAGAATTGTTCATGAATGATTCATGACTGTCTATATGATGTATCCATGGTGGCAACTGAGAGGCTCCAACCTTGCCGMAAATTGGTGTTCTAAGGGAAGGCGGCTGGATGCTCTTCCTCGGGATGGCACCGGGATTGCTATTTGTATCATAACACAAGCACAGTGTGCATTAAAGTGTCAGGTCCAACTTGTCGGCACATTAATTTTGGAAATGACAACTCTTTCTTGATGACAGGAGATGCTTTCAGGGAGGTGAGACTGACAATTTTCAACAAAAAACCAATAGAGGAAACTAAAAATATGATTGTCCTGAAGGTGGACCTATGCTGTTAGAATTGTCACTCCTTACAGAGGCGACRGACCCCCCAGGGCTGCTGTTTGTGCATGTCCCAAAGAACTCAAGGGCTTACCCAAGTCACACATACAACCAGAGCAGAAACCACTCCACTGATTATTCTGGACCACTGACTCTCAGCCAGTTAACATTTTGTACCCACCCCACCCCTTTGGGGCCATTAGGCAATGTCTGGAGACATTTGGTTGTCACCACTGGGGGTTGCTACTGGCACCTAGTGGACAGAAGCCAGGGATGCTGCAAAACATTCTAAAAATGTACAAGACAGCCCCCACTGACAAAGTGTGATCTGGCCCAAGATGTCGATATGACTAAGGATGAGACATCCTGAGCTAGAATATAGCACTCCACGGGAGCCACTGCAAAACCGAGGTTAGAGTGGGAGCAGGAAAAGAAGAACACTGGTAATGAAGACAACCTTGAAGTTTCCTCAAGAACCCTACCAGATCTGCACCAGGGTTTTTAGGACAGGCAAGTGGAATAAGTGACTAACTATGCCATGTGGTCTCAGAATTACAAATTTTGCACTTGGATCCAGGTGGCATCAGATACCCTGTATGTTATTTATTTATTTATTTATTTTTTTTTCTGTTACTATACTAGCAGCATTTCCAGGGCAACCTTGAGACTCTTCGAAGGTTCACTTTAAGAGTTCAGTATCTAATATATACATTTTAAAAAATGTTCAACAAATGGAATTATATTGTGCAAGACTCACTCTACCCTAATCTTTAATTTAAATCAGCACTTGAGGTGGAAAAAGTGTCCTGAATCTGTATTTTAGACTTAGGGCTGAGCGGTATTTTTTTTTTTTTTTCCTGTAACATGGCAAATGTGGTCCTGAACCATAAAAACTGCTCATGTATAATTCTGGCTTTCAGGCACAGCTGAACTAGAAAGTCAGAAAGGTTCAGAAGGGTTCAGATTCACAGTGGGGCTACTCACCCTGGTTCTGGTATTTACATTGCCCAGTGACAGAGTGGGTTTACAGTGTGTTTAGTTACAAACCAAACTCAAATTCAGCATCATGAAAAAGTCTGATGACTAATGCTACCGTTGTAAATACCTGTGTCTCTTTGGACTCTTTAGTCAAGCTCCTGGTGTTCTTTGCCTATTCATTTTTTTGATTGGCAGTTTCAAGGTTTTGTGTATGAAATACGTGGTTTGTAAGAATCAAATCCAAGCCCCCACATAACGGACAAAATACCAGTTACCCACCATGTCCAGCAGAGGGTCCACTGGTGTGCGCAGCCCTCTTTTCTTAGCTTACAGGGCATAATATTTACTCCAGGGATGGGATTGGTTGGATACTCTTGTATCTTCCTGCTCCCCCTGATGCTTCTTTAATAAACCTTTTTGACACATCTCAAAATTTTCTGTGTAGTCAAATCTGGCCCTTTAGGTTCTAAAAGTGGGAAAAAAATATTCTAAGAGAAATGGCATGGAGGATGTACAGAAGAGTAAAAATGGAGTAAATCAGGGCCTGGTGAGCTGGCAGGTCGAAGGCATCACCAGGGAAGGAGCCTGTGCAAGGCTATTTCTTTCTTTTTGTTCCAGAAATCCAGTCATCAAGTCACCATCAAGCATTGGTAATTACAAAAGCGGTTTAGATAGCTATATACCATATATATTTTATATAGCAAGAGAAAAAGAGAGAAATTTCCTCTTAGTAAAATATTCACTTTTGTCAACCCTAAAAGGTTTTGCTGGTGACCCTGTTGTAGCTGGCAGGAGTTTGTTTGTTTGTTTTGTTTTGTGTTAAACATGTGCAGTGTAGAAGCCATAGCATTCTCTCCTAAGAACTCGTCATTGGTTGGGAATTTGTCCTACACAGTCTGCTTGCCTTGGCATTCACGCTTTGAACATTGAGCAGGCTTCCACCAGTCCCCGTTGTGACAGTGACAGATGTTACATTCGTCCACTTTCACTTCAATGCCAGCCGGAATTATTGTAGTTCCTGCAAAGCAGTTTGGACCTGGAACACACACATGCATCGATTAGTTGATTAAATCTGGGAAACTCCCCCTTCTCGCTCCCATGCCTCTGTCCCCCAAGAGCAATCCCATCCCCTAAGATATGAACAAAGGGGTCAGAGTCTGCTAGCAACTTAACATCAAGAAACTTTCTATGCATCCCTTTGAAACTTTCAGCTCACTGTGTTTTGCACACAGCTCATATTTTCCATGTATATCATGCATTAAAAAAAAAAAAGAGTGAGACAATGCTCAAGAATCTTACTGTCTGCTTACTGAGTATGTATGATTTTCTTAATTTAGGTTCTATGGATTAAATTTTACTTAATCTCTGGGGTTTAAAGATTGCCAAAGCATACCCTGAACCCACTAGGGGAGTACTGGCATGGTCTGTGGGACTGGATGGTGCCCATGGTTGATTCTCTCCCTTCGTGGGGTGGATGTGAGAAAATAAGCTCACTCGCTCCCCAGATTCAGCACCTCCTGAGCCCAGTTCCTGGAAACCCCAGCTTGTTTCTTGATAACAATGAATAATTCATGACCAGATGATTTATTCATGTCCCCAAACAAGCTTTGTTAAAGGTTCATTTGATTTTTATAAATGGAGTTCCTTTAATCTGCTGGCTATCTTTTTTTTTTCTTCTTCTTCTATTTTTTTAAACAATGACCCAAATGGTTTGAAAGTCAGCAGGAATTTTATTCTATTTTTTCAGGTTCAGAAAAGCTTTACTGCAGAAGTCAACTGTTCATTTCAGGTGCATTTTAAAAAATTCACCAATCTTAGTTTTTCACTTCTTGTCTATATTTTCCCCCCTTTCCCTTATTTATTTAATTACTTTCTTGCATTTTTTCCCCCTTTGGCCTTCCCAATGTAGGGGTGCTAATGTTCAGTATTAATTGATAATATTTTCCAAATTCAAATGGAATAAAAATTATTCCCCCAAATACAATGGATTAGAACAGGTGGTACAAATCACTGGTTTWAAAAAAACAATTTGGTATAAGTCTTTTAAGTACACATTTGGGTAAAGAGAATCAGCACTGAGTCGTGTCTAGTATCACTGGCTACTTGCCATAGCCGCTACAAGGTAGCCTGGCAGCATATGTCAATGACCTTGCCCTCCTTTTACTTTCTAACCACTTGATAAAACTGTACAAGACTGTCTTTACCAGCAAATAAATGAAATCGGAGGCTATCTGTAGTACCAGTTCATTATTGAAAGCTTGCTTTTTAAAGATTTTTTTTTTAGTTGTAGTTGGACACAATACCTTTATTTTATTTATTTTTATATGGTGCTAAGGATCGAAACCAGCATTTCAAACATGCTAGGCGAGCGCTTTACCATTAAGCCACAACCTCAGCCCCATGAAAGCTTGCTTTTATAAAAATAAGAACAATTAAGCTACAACATATATTTCTCAATACATAGCTGTTGCATATGCCATGGCTTTAAATGCCCATTGTTTTAGCACTCCCAGACCTCAGCTGTGCATACACTGACTTTCCTTCACTGGATGACATGAACAGCTGAGATGTGTGTCTGATCATGGAGAAATCAAGAGCTGGAGAGACACATTGGGTCAACTCTTGACAATTAAACAACTGGTGAATGATCTGCCTTTACCCCCAAGGGTGTTTCTTGTTCTTATCCTATGGTAAGTTCTTGGCATCCTAATTGCTAATTATTTAAGGATAACAATATTAATTCTGTAAATTTTGGGAATTTAATCATTGATAGATTGGATTGTCTTTGAGACCACACCTCTTTGGGAAAATTCAACACCAAACCATGCATGTGTTTTGAACTCAGAACTGAGAGAATATTCAGAGAACTTGGCAGAGTCTTTTCAAGAATGCAGCTGGTTCTCCCATGCCTGATGTTGACAGACTTCTCTCAGCCCACCATTTCTAGGCCAGACCTGGTCTTCCCAAAGTCAAGGTAGCTTTGGAAATGGAACTAGGCATGGCTCCAACCTGTTGAACCAGTCAGCCTGGAGGATGCATGGACCCCCCTGTCCACCATCCTTTCCAACCCAAACTTTCACCCTAATTGTACACTCTTAACTTTTCCAAACGGGGAAAGCAAACCATGTTATTCTTAATAATAGTTTTAAAATAAAGAAGTCCCTGAATATTACCCAGTAAGAGTTTTCATAGTTTCTTTAGATGATTTGGAAATCTGATAGAAAAATCTTAACTTTGTACGTGTGTGTGTGTGTGCGTGCACGCACATATCCATGTGCACGTTTGTATACTGCTGGTGCACAGGAGGCTGCATAGTCTCAAGGGTACAATAAGAGGGAAAGGGTGAGAGGAATGTGTAAAAAGAAATTTCTTACAAGCGACTGTGCACATCTTGATGGGATATTGTGCTCTGGTGTTCTGGTGTTCGCCCCTTCTGCACATGTTGGTGCTGTGCTATGACCAGTATGTATTGAATTAACCTCTATACATCATTTCTTAAGAGCCATTGGGATTTGTTGCACTTTAAGCTCAAGAAATATTAATTATTTTGATGGATATAAGAAAGAAAGATGCTTCTCATGTGCCAAAACTGACCAAAGGCACTGCCTATAATTAATATGATAAGCTCTCTACTGTCAATCTGATGACTAGAGGTATTTTACAGAATCAAAAATGCTTGCTTGATCTTATCAACTTTAGTACTACAGTGATTTTATTGGTACCCTTCTGAGAATCTCAGGTATAACTACAGCAAATCTCCAGTTTGCTGTTAATAGTCTTATCCACTTACAAGTAATTTAGATAATTGTCAAGCAGAATGGTGGCACTGTTTAAAAAGTGTTCTGGTATTAGGCCTTTCTCCTTAATAGTGTGACAGAAAATGCTAATTTGCTTTGAGCTTTTGAGTGTTCTACACGAGTTCCTTACCTAGGAAATATTTCTTTACTCCTCTCTAAAGTCCTCCTTTTCTTTGGGGGCTGCTCTCCTTTTGCCATGGTCTATGTGAAGGGATAAGTTGCTTTGAAGAGTGAACTCAATGGCAAAGCAACATATTTTAATGCAGACCACTTGGAGAAGCTCCAGAGGGGAAGCAATGAAAATGATTAAACTGAAGGCTGGCAAATAGGACCTCTGAGGAAAGGTTAAAGGGATTGGAATTATTTAATCTAGAAAGAGAAGACAGAGGAATAACTCAATAACTCTCAGGGAATGAAGGCTTGTTACATGAAGAATGGTGACTAAATGTGTACTCTTTTTTTTTTTCTGGGGCATAGAATAAGAAGAAAAGGAGATCCATTGATTCTCAATGAATTGAAAACACACATACACACACACACACACACACACACACACATACACATACACACACACTACTCAGATATCTGAAAGTTGAATGTGGTGATTCCCAACAATGTGGTGAGATCTTCCTTAGAAAGGTTTAAGAATGGAAGAGAGGCCTGGATGTACAGTTTAGTGTACAGCAAGTGTTTGGCATGAGTGAGGTACTGGGTTCAATCCCCAGTACCCCAAACAACAAACAGAACAAAACCATGCAGGAGGTCTATCTGTCTAGTATGGTGTATATTGTCAGCAACTTGAAGGGAGAAACTGAATATCTGTTAGTTCTTATGGTCCAGGACTAATGCTGTGTCTAGCAAATATTAAGCACTCACTATGGCTTGTTCAACTGAGTGAAACAGAATGACCTGCCTAGTTACGCATTGGAAACAAATTTATTTTCTGAACCTATAGATCAGACCCTATCTATTCATTAGGMCTAGTCTTAGTAACATAGGTTTAGAAATATTGATAATCAATGCAAATGCATGGTGAGAATTTCTTTAACACTGACTTCATGCTAGGAATTTGTCTCATTTAATATTTACAAAAAAAATCATAGAAGGAAGGAACACACTCTTACCTCAGGATATGGTGCTTCACAGATAGAAAATAACTTGCCTGAAAGCACAAAGCCAGGAGGTAGCTTCAATGGGATATGAATTTGAATCTCTGTGACTCATAGGAGGCTTCTAGTTGCCCAGAAAAAGATTTCGGGAATTCATTGCTGTGTTGCTTTTCACAGATCCTGAGCTTCTAGTCAAAATTAAGAAGTCCAATTCATTTTAGTACTAGGATGCATACTGAGCTAAGATTGGGATGTGGTTAGAAAGCAGTGAGACTGTTTATCTATTGAATTTTATGCATTTACTAGTTATATAATGTGTATTCATATGGTCTCCAGGAAACATATTTTAAAACAAACAAAAATTCCCCTTGGAGAAGATGCTGTGTGCAGTGAGGTATTCCTTAAGGCAGAGTGAAATTCCCACTGGTACTGGGTACAGACTGTTGTGATTTAGATATGAGGTATCCCCAAAAAGGTTATGTGTGAAAAAATGCAAGAAGAGTCAGAGGTGAAATGATTAGATGATGGAGGTTGTAACCCAGTCAGTGGATTAATCCACTGATAGAAATGAACTGGGTGTATGTGGCTGGAGGAGATAGATCACTGAGGGCATGCCTTTGAAGTTTTTATGTTATCCCTGGAGAGCAGAGTTCTGTTTCCTGATTGCCTTGTCCTGAGCTACTTTCCTCTGCCCCACCTTCTGTCATGATGTCATGATGTTCTGCCTCACTTGGGCCCAGAGCTTAGGAGTCATCCATCTATGGACTGAGACGTYTGAAACCGTGAACCCTAAGTAGACTTCAGCTCCTCTAATTGTTCTTGTCAGATCTGTTGGTCACAGCGATGAAAAAGCTGACCAAAACACAGACTGACCAAGAACCATAATGAAAGTGGTCTATAAGTTGGGAAACCTGGTTCAAGTCCTGGTTCTTYCAGTTGATTATATATGTGACTTTAGTCAAATGCTTTGTAACTCAAATACAAACGGTGACCTGGATTGTCTGGTTTGTAGAGAGGATTAAAGTTGGAAATGCAATTTTTTTTTTTCTCCCTGGGAGTTGAAGATGGTAGAAAAGAGGGGAAAATGGGAATACTTCTAACCAATAATATTTTTCTCCTGAAACAAAAAT